ATCAGCGTGACCGGTTCAATCTGTCCTGCCTTGGTCTTGTCTTGGAAGTGCGGCCGTTGGAATCCTCCGTGATAGCGACGGTTTTCTATATTTTGGGTGTTAGACAACGGTTTTTGTTCTGGTTGGCCGATTTTCCCTCGAGCCTGTTGTTGTTTTGAGTCCCTTTGGTAGATCAGGGGTATCCATGCCCCACGTTAGGTTTGCCATTCGCGTGCACACCGGGGAGGGTGGTCGTGTGTTTGGATACGGACTGGTTAGATCTACCGGCAACAGCAGAGGGCACGCAGATGGGGCATACGTACACCTTGAAATGGTTGCATGTGCGGGGACCCCTCGAACTCCAAAGAGTGCTTCACTTCTCCCTACTCCCCTTGCGTGTCTAATACAAGAGATAAAACGTCTTCCCCTTCCAAGTAAAGGACATATACGAACAGTGAGCAAATCGCTGTGTTGCCCCAGTCGTCGTAAAAGCGGTTTGCGCACGCGATTTGGTTTCTCGACCATGCGTCTCAATCGCCCACAGGAGGAGTACACGGAGGCATTTTCGCTGTTGGGGAGGGCCCTCAGAATCAGTACCATGAAGTTTGGAGATAACCACCCGGACACGGCTGGTACTCGGAGTGACCTGGAATTTGTGCGAGAGGAGGTTCGTGCACGCTTTGGGCCGTCTTGCAGGCAAGCCTCGTGCGGGACGATCGCGCGAAGGCCTGGCACTACCGCTGAGAAAACCACGTTCGATGTTCGTTGCAGGTGGGTATGAAGACGAGGTGGAAGAAGCTGGCTGTGTTAGCAGTCATTGCCGACTCGATGAAGAAGACAGGGGAAAAGCTCCCATGACCGCAGCAAGTGTAACGTGGCGTGGCATGCCATGCTCACGTCCACGGCGACCGACCGCCTGTGGTGTCGAACAATTCTTGCAAATTTCGTTGTTGTTGGCGATGATGACCCGCCATGGGTTATTTTTGTAGGGTTGGGTACTGGCGCTGCGCGCCAGAAAAAAGTATACTGGCTGCGTCAGCAGCCAGTAAACTGGATCCGATCAGTACACTGGTGGCGCGGCGAAGCCGCGCGGTCGCGGCTGCGCCGCGNAGAGCAAAAAAAATGAGTGATTTTGGCCCATCTGACAGAGGCACTATCGCGGGGAAAACGATAGAAAGTTCGAGTTCAACGACTGAATTTGTTGGTTTTGGACATGAGGAAATATTGAAACATTATAATATTACTCCCAAGCAACCAAGTGGCATCCATCAGTTGGGTTGATGAGCGACGCTATCGTATACCCCCTGCATCATCAGCACCACTGCCGGGGTCTGCAGCAGACGGCGAGCTGGCAGGGGAGACTACAAACCTGTCCATCGTTGTATGGTCTCCCGACCTCTGTGGCGTGTTTGGTAGCTAGTGTTTGACGTGTGGCGGTGTGTCTCTCAGAGGAGGTCTGAGTATATGGGTTTCCGCTGGTTCTTGAGGCGTAATACAGAGGAAATCTGCGAATATAAGAATGTACTGGAGTACTGGCTGCGTCAGCAGCCAGTGCATATGCACTGCCAGTGCATAGCACTGGCAGTACGTACTGGTTCAGTACCCAACCCTATATTTTTGGCATTTATTTGTACTCTTGTGATCAGCTCTTGTTTTCGCTTCTGGGCGTGTCATTCATTGTAGGGACCATCCTCCCTTCCAAGGGCATCGTGTTTCTTAGCCGTGAGGCAAGGTGGCGAAAAATCATCCATGCGCAAGGATAGTCTTGTGAGGCTGGAATTGTAAAAACATCACGTCACATGACTCAAGTCTTGTATGTACGTGATTTTTTGTAGTGGTGAACGAATCCCCCAATTTTAGGGGAAACTTTTGTTTGCTTGTCTGTATTTTGAAAAGGATGCAGTTTCGTTGTCACGAACACGCTCTCTCCCTCTTGCATTCTCGCATAAGTTTCGGGTTTGTTGCATGGTGGTGATGCGCCCTGTATTATTGTGTTTCTTTAATGTTGGATCACGATCACGAGCGAGTACAGTGCAGTGGTGCCATGGCGTTGTTCTGGAGGTACACTGTTGAGCAACAGTTGGACTTTGTGAAACCGGCTGGTTGGCATATGTTGGGTACGGTTTGGTCGCGCCGAGCGTTAGATAAGAAGAGCTGCTGGGGCAGAGAGGAGAAGGTAATATATCAATGGTTTCGTCGAGCCGTGTTGTGGGCAGACAATGAGACATGAGAAGCAACGGCGAAAGACAGCTGCTAGCTTCCGTCTTGCCAGAAATATGGCGGGAGATTGCGTGCGCGGGGCGAGTGAGATTCGCGGGCTACAGCCGATGGCGACTTTAATATTTCCATGGTTTGTCGGTTTTTGCCATTTTCGAGCGCGGGGGCGAGATCAGGACAAGAACTAAAGCTCACCACCGAACAGTGTTCTTTGCACATGCTGTGCAGAAATGGACGGCCAAAAATATTCTATCGTACATACGTCAGCTTCGTCGTAACGCTGATATGTCTACAACGCAACGCCCTACGACGAGGGGCAGTCGTTTGCTACCCTCCCGGTAGCTCCCTCCCCAAGCACCAGCCGACGCGAGACACGGCCAGATTTATTCCTACCTGGCTGATGGCGCTTACCGTCCAAGAAATTTCGGCTAACCAGAAATCAGCGGCACCCCATGGTGACCAATTGGAACACCGACTTAACATCTTTATCACCAACGGTATGTGAGCGAACAGAGGAAACCGTGCCTCGCAACGTCGAGCCTTCCACTGTAGTTGGGCCGGCCAAAACTTGTTGCAAGAGTGGCGTCAAACACTGAACGCAGGACACTCCACCATAACATGTAGCCTTTGCACTCCCAACGACGCGACGGTAAGAAGACCTTGCATGTTTCTGAAATCGGTATGCCACACATCATTTGAGAAGGAGCATAATTTTCCAGATGAACACTGGCAAAAGTTGGAGCGAAATCGCTTCGTGGCTGTACACCAAAACAGCAGAACCATGCCGACAACAGCGACACAATCCTTACCTACAGCAGCAGCCTACCCATCGCGCCAGACCCCCGCCCTACGAAAAAGTGCCCCACCCTCCAACCACCCGAAACTGGTCTACCTCCTCCTCCTCCTCCTCCTCCTCCTCCTCCTCCTCCTCCTCCTCTACCTCCTCTTCATACGCTTCGAATCCACCCTCTCCATGCACGTCGCCGCCATCCCCTGGGCTCATCCGACTACGCGTCGTCTCATCTCCCGGGGCCCCCTTCCACCTCCCGCTGCTGCTTTCTCCGGCGCCATTCCGCGGAAAGAAGGACGGACCGCTTCCTCCCCCACCGCGACCGGCTCTCTCTACCGCACTTCTACCGCCTTCCACCGCTTCTTCTACCCAGGAAGAAGCCTCAACGGCGCTAACCTTGGTGCCGGCGAAAACTTCGCCTTGGGCGGCGGCTTGGGCTGCCTCGCGGCTCGTGGCTGTGTTGGGAGACTCACCGTGGGGCTGCCCCTGCTGTCGCTGCCGCCATTCTACCGAGTCTGCAGTACGGGAAGTCGAAGGTGCCGGGCGCGATGATTGCACAGCGAGCGTCGGTGCTTCTGCTGCAAATGGCGTGCTTGCAGCGCTGCTAGGCGGGAGAAGGGCGTTCGGGTGTTGGAGGAAGGAGCGTCGTAAAACGAACGGTCGCGAAAAATAAGCGGGTAAATTACAGGGAGGGGGGGGGAGCATCCATTGACTCAATCAAGAAAAGCGTGCCACCACGCATGTACCGCAATGGTAGAAAGACGCGTGCCGAAACTAGAAACTGTGTGCAGCCTTGATCTTGACAGTTGGATGCATTGTTACTCTGTGCGTAAAATACAAGTACGGGAAGTCTTTCCTTGTCGGGTTTCAAGCGACGACACGCTCGTGGCCAGAAGGGAAAGGCGAAGGACTGAATACCTCCAAGCTTGCTCTACGGCAGTACTTGTTCTCTGCTGGCGGGGGTTCCAAACCTAGGAAATGGCTGGGGTTCCAAGCCTAGGAAACGAAGTCGGAATCTCCAGGAGGTTGGGAAAGATGCTGGGCAAACAAATCTCCAACAACGGATGACCACGAGTCACTCCGTAGCTCAACCAAGCCACGGCCACACTGAACCACCGTGGTGGCATCATGCTCTCAATTTCCTGGCCTCTCTTGTTTTGCAACACCGGTTCTCGTAGACTGGGTGGTGGGTGGGAAGCATCCCGCTAAAGGTGCCGCTCTAGTCTTGCTCACCTGCGACCCACGCCGTTGGACGGCTTGACTCTAGCCCAGGACACCCTCAGCTCTGCGCCAAGGCTCAACAACTTCGTTCCTACCAACTTCCCGCTCACGACGCCTCCCCTCCGGGTATCCACTACCATTCTCCCAACATCTCCTCTTTCCCCCTCGCCGGCGCCAGCAGCAGCAGCAGCAGCAGCAGCAAATCGCGACAAGAGGCGTTCGGATGCTCCTCTTCTACTCGAGGTTTTCGACGTTGGTGTGGGAAGCTTGTGGCCTGGGGACGCTTCTTCCCAGTCCCCGGTCATTTCATCGTCGCCGTCGTCCCGCCCGGCCCTGCGCGGCAGCTGTAGCACCCCGCGAGCGTGATCCACCGCGGCGGAGAGCTGATCGCTCTGCAACACCGCGCCGGGAAGGATCTGGTAATTTTCGTGGGCGGACATGCCACGGCATGTAGAGTGAGGACGCAAGGCGCAAAAGGGGAGTGAGAGGGCGGGATAAAGTCAGCGACATCGCTTATAGATAGGCATGCATGCCCGACGCACCAATGGTGGGAAGGAGGCAGGCAGCAGGGAGTCTACGGTGTGGCCATCACTTGCGACAGCAGAAAGCAGGACCTCCGGACGCTGCAGTTCTTCGGTCACCTTGACGATGCGGTCTCGAACGGTCCGGTGGGGTCTCAGGGAAGAGGGGGCGTCTGCAGCCCCGTCTCTCTCTTCAGGAAAAGCTGCAGAGCGAACCTAAAGCGGGAAGGGGGGAAAAAGACAGACGGACACAAAGTTTAAACAGGTTGAGATCGAAAGCACGTCGTATGCCGTCAAACCAAAAAAAACACTCCGCCACCAGGTAACGGAAGCGGAGAGGGACGAAAACTACGGTCGAAATAGGTTGAAAATTCCAACACACGTGTCGCTAAAATCAGCCGTCCACGGAAGGTACGCGGCACTTGCACCGCGCCCACTTGCTGTAGCACACGCTTTCGCTGCCAGGCTTACCGCCGTGCCAAGCGTCCTGACGGTATCGGCACACAGATCGCACTGCTCCAGGAGCCCTCTGCACAGCCTCGCCGCACCAAAGTCCACCCCTTCGGTTGAACCACCGGGGACAGCAGCACTCCGTCCCCTATTCCGTACGCCTTTCAGGTCCACCGTTTGGGAACACCTCCAGGCAAGGGCTCGCTCCAGTTGGCTCTCTAGCGCCCTAAAAAGCCAACGTTTCGTGTGTTTTCGAATAAAAATTTGACGGCTCCAACCGTCACACGAATAAAAAAGACGCAGGTCTTGTAGCGGGATAAAAAAACATGAACGCGAAACATATTTCGTGTGTGGGTACATTCGAGTGCTGGGGCTATTGCGCATGTTTGGGCTGTCGGCCGCATTCACTACCGGGGATCCTACATGTAGCTGCGCCATGGCGTCATGACCATTCTCGAAACGTCTACGGCCTTCATACAAAGCCTTGGGGGGCAAAGCAGCAAGCCCTCCATCCAACAAGGACGGAGTGAAGGAGGCGTTAGGAAAGTACACAGCAGTTCATGCCAGAAAATTCCCGGAAGAAAGCTCCGTGTGTGCCGTCGTATGTACCTGCACGCCGAGCTCAACAACCACAAACACAAACAATGGCCTCAAGTAGAAGAAGCTAAACCATGTACGTTACCTGAGGGTCTTGGAGCAGCACAAGGTCACGGGCAGCACGCACCGCCGCAGCAGCCTGCCTAGTGCTGTTAGCTCTTCTGTTCCCGCACATGAGTTCCTGTTCCGCCAACGACCCACGAACAAAGACCGAGTGGAACCATCGCAAGGCCATCAGTAGGTTCACCCGGCGGCGAATGAGTCCGAGGGGGGGCGCGGGGCGTGGTTTCTGCCATAAACGAAGGAAGCATCGGTTGTAAAATAGCGTGTTCGCCACTCTGCCAGCATGCTCTGAAGAAGACAACGACAACAGGCAGTGCGAGCTACAATGGCAGACTCCCGTATCTCTCTCCAAAAAACAAAAAAGAACAACATTTTGACCACGCTCTGCATAGACTACAGGTAGTTCGAAGTCTGAGAAACAACCATGCACGGGACAAGCACCCAACACGCAACAGGAGCCATACAGTGTAGTGATCATACGCGTCCGAACCTTTTGTGTCTAACCGACACTTAACGATAGACGGACGGGGAGATCGACAGAGTCACAAAGCGTACGACACCATGGACCCGTGGGGGACAAAACAGACCGCCGTCGCAAAGACAGGGCCAGCAGGCAGGCAAGGCCAAGAAACGACCCCGGCAAAAGGGATTCTTATCCTTTCACGCACCACGCCCCGTTGTACAAGCTCTCGATGCACGCTTCCACCAGGCACTCCAGCACCATGCCGAGGCACTCCAGCTCCTCGTAAGGGCTGCTGGAAACCCCGGGGATGGACCCCCTTGCTCTGGATCCACCTTCAGCGCAGATGACTCCCCTACCCGTCACACAGCTACCTGTCGCGCCGCCTTGGACACTTGATGCTGGGGGTCCCGCCGGTGGTGTTTGCGGCGCTGCCAGGGCGAGGCTTGCAGGCAACAGCTTCACCAAGGTGGCCATGAAGACGTCGAAGTTCTCCTGGGAGAGGACGGGCGTCGGCGTCGGCGTCGGCGGCGATGACGACCAAGAGGAAGAGGAGGGCGTCGCCTTGTGTCTGGCCGACGACGACTGCTGCCTGGAGGCAGGTTCCTCGCTGCCCTTGCAGGTTGGACCTGCAGAGGCGGGGGCGGGGGAGGGCAGGGCGCACGGAGGGCTGGATCAAAATATCTTACGGCTTGGGGAGAGGGGGACGGTACGCGGAGCCGCACGCGCACATGTGTGTTCAAGCCGAGCTGCTTGTCAACTTAGGCGCGCGGCAGCCATTGGTGGAGAGGTGTTCCATGCGTCACAGATTGTCCCATGGTCAAAGATGGGCCCGTGGGGAAACGGTTCGTAAATCACAGCCAACCTCAACGTTGGCCAACTAGAGGAACACGGACGAAAAAAAAAGAAAGGGCTGGGCGAAAAGCTGACCTATCAACGGACCTACCTGTCTTCCCCAGCACGAACGCCTCCACGTCGACCACGGCGGCCGCTACACCCCACGCCCTCCCCATCCTTCCGGACAGCGCCCAGTGCGTCAGGAACGCGTGCTGCAGGAACGGTAGGGCGGGCAAACCGGTCCTCGAGAGCATCGCGGAGGCGTTTCCCATGTGCGGGGGAAACTGTAGCTGTCCCCGGAGACGACTACGAGAGAAAGGGTGTGTGCAAGACATGGGGTGCCATTGGGTAGGGGGGGCAACGGCTGTTCAGAGAGGATGGTGAGAGGTGTGTATCTCGCGAAGCCTGTTCGTGTCAGGCCATCACCACGCCGGACACCCACATGCAGGCCCAAACAGTGATACCGGTGTGAAACAGGCTGGCGGGAGTCTTGCCCACAGACGTGGGGTAAGCTCTCAAACTCGCACCGCGGGCGTGTTCGGCAGACCGATTACAACAAACCATATCTCGAGACTTCGGGTGCCGCGGGAGCGCCCTTATCGCTGACAGAGCTTAGAATACTCCCGCGCCGCCGCCGCCTCCGACCCGCACACGACTCTCGAGAACGCCCAAACAAACTGATAAGAGAACCACACCTGGTGGTACCGCCGTAGCGGTGGAGGTGGAGGAAGAATCGCAGAGAGACAGGGGACGACAGCAGGGACGCTCCCTGCCTGCGAGAAAAAAGGAAGAAAAAAAAAAACAAGCCGGCGAGCGGAAGGGGGAGCAAGGGGATAAACTAGGATGGACGATGTGAATCAATCTTCACTCCGAGCTGTCAGATGCCTGGTGCTCTTCTCATGTTGCCTAGAGAGCAAGGGGTTAACAAAGGTTAAGACAAGAAAATTAAGACTGCCTCTGTTTCAGCCCTTGCGAACGTCCGACATGGCTCCGAACTAGGTGCTCAGCGCGGCCGCTGCTACGCTCGTATGCCGAAGTAGAAGCCACCATGACCGCTGTGCGGCAAACCAACAAATACCCCCGCCATGAACCAAAAACAGCCAACGGTCCAGGCTGGGCATTCTCACTCTCCACGCGCCTTTGAAACTGCGCCAATAACAAAAAAAAAAGGGTGCGCTTCATCCATCTAGACTAGACTAGACTAGAAACGCACAAAGGCCGTCTCCAAGTGTTGATTTGCTACCTTCGAAGGCCCCCAACGACCCCTCCGATGTGCGAGTAGCCGGCGCCGTAACCCCGGGGATACACCGCACGCAGCCCCTTCCACGACAGCACGGCCCCCTCTTCCGACCTCGGGAGTCCCGCGGACAGCGCGGCCAACACTTCCACCACCATGCCTGCGATTCCGTGTCGGGGACGGCGGCGGCGAGGGAGCCAGTGTTTGAAATCGAAAACAAGTTACACAAACTGTGCATGCTAACAAACGTTGGTTCGGTATGTTCGGTGTGGCGTGGTTCAGTGTGATGTGGTTCGATGTCATGGGTGACAAGTTGTGGCACGAGTAGGCATTTCATATTCCCCCGCGAGACGATATTGCTAGAATATCACCGGAAATCTCCGACCAACGCAAGCGGAGATTTCCGATTTGGACGAACCAACGAATGGGGGCCGGAGGCAGGTTGGTAGAGTAAGATCGGGCGGTTTTGGGAGTACCGCCGCAGCTGCTGTCCCTACATGAGCAAAAGTCGGTCGACCGAACTGGAAAAAAAAAAAAGACCGCCGCAAAACTTTTGGCCGAAGAAGCGAACCAAATATTGGCTGGGCACAGGCTTGCCTCTCACGGTTGTTCTGGAGCCTACGAGCGCTTGTAACAAACGCCTGTTTGACGATCGATCCTTGACACACGTCTCATCACTGGCTCGAACACCACTGTGCGGTGCACAACCCCCCACAAGACAAAATACCAACGTCTCCTCATCGCGGCTTTGACTCCACGGCGTTGACAAATTGGTATGCTCTCCTCGTCGTGCTACACCTGCACTCTGGGCTTGACCCAGTACCATGAGAGCGTGAACGTGAAAGACCGCCTTAACGGTTGCTGTGGTCAGCCGTGGAACCACAGGAGAGGAAGAATAAAACAAATGGGCCCGCCCGTGCTTAACCCACCCCCCGCCTCGCCGATTTCCGCAACTATAAAACCTTCGTCCGAACAACAAGACAGCAGGTCGCACCCAATCATTCACGATGTGCCATGGACAGTAGTGGCTGAGACTAAGATTACTACAGTACTACTTGCCGTGCGGCGAGACCTACTGGCAAGGGAAAAACAGGGTCAATCAAGCCGTGTGCTCTGTACATACTCTTGGAGCGCACCTGCCAAGAGTCCGTCTTCAGCCCTGTCGTGCTGTTCGGACAGCTCCGAGAACACGGCCTCTTCAGCATCGTAAAGGTCATCGCCGCCGCCGCCGCTCGTGTCGATGGCGGCGGTCGAGGCCGGACGAGAAGAGGTAGCCGAGGCAAGCTGCTTCATAACCTGAAATAGATTTCAGAACGCGGCCGCGCGTGGCGGAAGCAAACGACAGTCACGTGCGAACGTTCTACACCAGCCACCGAATGCACCCTTTGAAGCATTTGGATGGAATGGATTGTGGTGCGTTGCCGGACACTTTCTAGTCATCTCGATGGGAGTGTTTCATTTTTTCACGCGGGGCTTCTTCTCGTACATTGCCATGGCGCACAACACTCTGCTGACACAAACGACAACCGTTCTCTGGTCCGTGGTCTAACTGACACCTGAGGCATTCAACACAACCCCCCCGTTCCAAAATCTCCCACCCCCAATGCCGTTACTGCCTGTCACCTCCACAAACTCCGTGCGGGGGAGCTCGGCCCACCCCCCACCGTCGCTGCGCTCCTCCCCACCGCCGACACCCCCTCTCGCCGCCAGCACCACCTCCAGCAACAGCCTGTACCGCCAGAACTGACAAAGGCTCAGCCCAGGCAGGCCCTCCCAAGGGTTGGCCTCGCCATCCGCTGTCCTGCCGCCGCCAGCGGCGAAGGAAGAGCTCGCGCCGCCGGCCCTGCGGGCGCCAGCGGGTGTCTCGCTCCACGGACCCCCCGTCCCCGTCTTCTTGACTGTCGTTGCCGCCGCCGCCGCCGCCGCTCTTCTCTTACCCTTGGGGGTGGAGGTGCGGGGGTAACGGGGTTCGTCCTCTGCCTCCTGGTCCGATTCGTCGCTCGAGCTGTCTTCGTCTTCGGAACTGTCGTCTGCTTTGGATGGGGAGGGGAGGAGGGAAAGGGGTTGGAGGCAAGGCTGCTTGGACTCCTTGTGTGGGACGAAAAAAAAAATCATTCAATGATGAACTGTAGTGCCAGAATATTACTCTTGCAGTATTAACTACGCGAGATCTCGTTCGCTGCATACTTCTAGAGTAATTGTGTTGGCATCATTCGAGGCTAAGGGCTTGCGGCGACTGATCGAAAGCGCGCTTCAACTGCGAAAGATAGTTCAACAGAGTGACGGGAAGACACACAGTCTTGTTGTTGACACAAACAGCACTGGGGTGCGCTTGAGAAGTTGGTGCCTCTCGCCCTCACCCCCCCTCACCCGTCTCCGAAGAACTCCACTCAGAATCCCTAGAGTCCTCGTCCGAGAAAAACACTTCATCATCTTCCTCTTCCTCCTGCCCATCTTCACTCTCGCTGTCTCCGCCCTCCATGACCCCTCGAAGCCCACTGCTAACCGCTCTCCCCCCCCGCCTCCTCACACTGTCGCCGCCGAGCCATCGCGCGGTGTCCCTAGACCCCCCGCCGCGGGAGGCGTGAATGGAGCGGGTTCGACGCTTGGTTGTCTCTGCGCTCGCTGCCGCCGCCGCCCGCCCACCGCCGCCGCTGGTGCGACCGGCCAGTCGATTAGCAGACGCGGGTGTCTTCTTGTTTTGCAAGGCGGCCAAGCTTTCTCGTCGTCGCTTCTGAGGGGTGAGCTTGGCGAGGAGGGCGGTCTTGGAGGCCGCCTGCGCCTTGCGCAGGATTGGCAAAGTCTTGCTGCACTTGACGGTCCCGCTGGCGAGGAGATGGACCGCATCGGAAACGGCATCGGAAACGATATGGTTAGGGGGAAAACACAGTGCGGCGCTATCTAACAGACGGCGACAGCGCAAGCAGAGGGTAAAGAAGGCGCGGGCGGGGAGTATGAAATGGACGTACTGGTACGATATTTGAATGTCGTGAGGTTGAAAAATCTACCCCGCCTGGACAACGAGGAGGAGCAAGAAAGTCTCGATATGATATAACCACACCGCCCTTGCAGCCTTAACAAAACACGCTCGGCCTCCGGTCGATACACAGCCGAAAGCCGCACAACAAGAAGCTCTATCTCTCTCTCTCTCTCTCTCTCTCTCTCTCTCTCTCGATTGCTCGTGACAATTGTAGGTCAACCCTCTCCAGACGCCCTTGTCGAAGCGGCACACAGCTATCGTTCCCTTACGGCACGAAAACGGACAAGCTACGCGTGCAACTCTCAGTCAAGCAATATATGGATGATGGAGGGAGGTAGGGAGGGAGGGAGGTGACGCTCACAACCCGATAGAAATCTCACCGAAACAGCGTCTCCACGTCTAGCGCCCGCACCCCCGGCGCCACCCCTGCGGGTCCCTCGGCGCCCCCCCCGGCGCCCCCCCCCCCTGCCTCGACGGCCGCCCCCCCCCCGCGAGCACCGCCGCTTTCGAGGCGTGTAACAAGCGTCCTCAGCAGCTCCACGTACGCCATGAGCACGATAGAAGGCGTCTTCACGCCGTTCATGAGGTTCCCCATTGTTGTCGTGGAGGTTGCCATCGCTCGGTTCTCTGCTGATCGGCATCCTCCGTCTTTCTTCTTCACGTAACGGCCGTCGCTGGTGGTGGACGTTGCTTCCTCGCCTTGGGATGACGATGCCGTCGTTGGTGATGTTGCCATCGCAGCTGTTGAAGTGGCGGTTACGTGGTTCTCCACATCGGCGTTGACGAGGCGGCACAGGCACTCCAGGGGCATCAACTCTTGATGGGTTATTTTTGTAGGTCGTACGAGCGTGACATGGCATGGGGTGCGGGGAAAACGGGAACGATGTTTGGCGTCACGTGGCAAGACGAGACGAAGAGCGAGCCCCAGAAAAACACGTAGGAAACAAACCCGACAGACGTTACCCCGCCCTTCTCAGAGCACGGAGGTCACCATCTTCCATGCCCGAGAACGAGCAGCAATCCACGAGAAACCGGTAGCTTCGTGCCGCGCTAGCCATCAGACCCAAAAATAGCTGCTGCACCACGAAAGGCGGCATCCCACCTGCCGTCGCCCGGAATAAAACGTCTACTGTCGCACATGAATAAACAGCGTCAGCAGATAAAATACGACGGTACCCCAGTAGGTCTTGGATTGTCCAATACAGTGGGGGCCCCGGTTTGGCGACCCCTAGTGTCACGACGTAACGTGGCCGCTATTCAGGGCAGGTCGCTAAACCGAACTAACAAAATATAACAGTTTTTCAGTTACACTGGGGTGCGGTGGTGTCACGTGGTTTTGTGGTCGCTGAACAGGGCGAATGTCGCTAAACAGGGCGTCGTTAAACCGAGACCCCCACTGTAGATGCTACAACGACTCCAGTCTGTCGCCCACAACAACCCAAGCGAAATACGAGTCCCACGAGTCCCACGAGTCCCACGAGTCCCACGGTGCCGTCTCCAGTTTTTTATCAGCCCTCCGCAAGGCTNGTAGAAATACTCGTGGGTTCTGGCGTTTCTCAACTCCTCTCATCCCCCCCCCCCCCCCCCCCCCCCCCCACATGCCGCCCGCGCACACACGAGTGTCCTCACCCAGGCTCAGCCCTTCCTCAAGCCGCGTCGCCGCTCTCTCCTCCTCCTCCTCCTCCCCTTCCGTCGAGGCGGCCGAGCCCCTAACACCCGCCGAATCACCGCCCTTACCTCCGCCGCTGCCGCCGCCACTCCCGGCTACCTGTCGCGCGGTCCGGCGGAGCGCGGCGACACAAACCCTGCCTCTTGCCCCGAGCTCAAGGTAGCGCCAGACGAGGTCGGAGAGGAGAGAGGAGGACCCCGGGCCTGATGTCTCCCCCGCGTCGAGGTCGACTACGCCTCCGGTATCGCTGCTGTCCGCGTCGGCGTGGCATCGTCGTGCTCCGCGGCTGCCATAGTCGTTGCCGCCGCCGCCGCCGCTGCGGATGTTGTTGTTGGTAGCCTTCGCAAATCTCTCGGGCAGCAGCGGGCTACCTCCGGTGGGGGCCAGGTGGGCAAGGAGGTATTTCGCGGCGGACGACAGGAGGGACCTGGCGGCCACGCACGCCGCGCCCGCTTCCACCAGCTGCTGCGTGCCTTCCTTTCCTGGTGGCGGTTGCCATCGATAAATTCACGTTGTTGTTTGGGGGGGAGGGGGGGGGAAATCGGGGGGGATACGTGTCGGTGGGCCGGGGGGGGATGAGAGGAGTTGAGAAACGCCAGAACCCACGAGTATTTCTACTATAGAACAAGAGAAACAAGAAACTTTGCGACAGGCAGGCGACGGAAAGCATCGAGCCCGCCTGCCGCACCGGAGCGCCGCGCACACAGCAATGCGACAATCCCACGAGATGGCAAGATGGCTGTAACACTGCGCTACCAGACCACCCACACGCGCACCTTGCCAAGCGCACTCGACCGTCGGAATCCTCCACAGCGAGTACCCCCCGCCCCACCCATCCGTCCCTCCGCCCACCCCCCAGTAGCCGCCGCTGTCTTCTACCGGCCCCTTATCGCCGTACGACTCGTCCGAAAACGGCCACACCGGCATGCTCAGCCGTGCCCGGAGCCAGGAGCCCCCCCCCCTTGCGTCGGCGTCGTCCCCGCTGCTAGAGCCCCCCCCGTTTACCCGGTCTGTCGTGCCCCCTGTCGCTGCCCTTCTGTCGCCGGCTCTGTGCTGGGCAGAAGAGGCGGGAGTTCCATTGCTGTGGAAGGCCGTGTCGCCACCACCGGCGGAGGAAGCTGCGGCGGAACTTGTTTCGTTTCGGCAGGACAGGGTGATGGCGGCGAACCAGGAGCTGTGCAAGGACCGGGCGGACTCGGACAGGGTCGTGTTGCCCTCTGGGGGGGGAAGGGGGGAGCACGAGACAGCGCGTCAGTCAGGGTGGTTGCGGTCCATGTGTCCTACACATGCGGCGAGCACAGACGGAGTAGACGCACGATGCTCGCGGGAAAGCTTGAAGCGCGAACCAGCGGCAGGGCGGGGGAACCTCCGAACCTACTTCACTCCCGTAATGAGCAAGAACTGCTGCGAGATGGTAAGGCCGTGACGCGCGACACCCAATGTGTGAAGACTTCAACACATCCCTTCGTTTGGGAGCCTACACTAGAACGGGTACGTCCCTTCGTTCGGTGATTGAATGCCAAGAATTTTCTAGGAAAACCCGAAAGACTACCGTTCCTGCAACCAAACCGCAAGGCCAAAAAAAATGCATCCGGGCCGGTGAAAGAACGATGTCTCGCCCCGACAAGACAAGGCCGGCAAGACACGCACTTCTACATACTTCGCGAAGCACTTCAAGTCTGCTGCCTTACTCCTCACGAAGGTCCGACTACTACCTGACAAGGCTGACGCGCATGCCGTCATGACCAACTCAGCATGACAGACACACAAAGACAACCCACCTCGCCACATGGCTATCGCCATGTCTCGGACGCACAACGTCGCACCGCTTGCAGGAGAGGACGGGGTCGTCGTCTGCGCCAGCCCCCGTCCCCCCCGCATTTGCCCAACCACGTGTCCCCCACCTCCTCTTCCTTGCTCCTCCCCGAAAAGGCGGGCTTCTTCCTCTTCCACTTCGCCCTCCTGGCCTAACACACGCGTTACATCGACCAACTCTTCTTCGCTCCGGGCAAGCCGCGGCGCAAGACCTGGGGGNGGGGGGGGGGGGGGGGGGGGGGGGGGGGGGGGGGGGGGGGGGGGGGGGGGGGGGGGGGGGGGGGGGGGGGGGGGGGGGGGGGGGGGGGGGGGGGGGGCGACAACGATAAGATGAGGATGTAACTGCGCAACGTACAAGGAGTTTGTACGGCGGTCGAGAGCTAGGATCTCGGGGCCACGCAGACGGACATGGACCGGAGGAATACCACCCAGCCGGTGTTCACCAAGTTCCGTCTCGCCTCGGCTTCCCTTGTCTCTTTCAAAAAACGTTTTGCTTCAGGTCGTCAAAAAAGTTCTTCCACACCACGCGTCTCTTCTGTCTTGGGAAGTCGTGGCGATTTGATTCTTCCCTGAACGAACGCCCAAGGAGGAGACACCAACCTCAAGTTTCGGCCGTATCCGGATGAAGACAAAGTTACCGTGCCATAGGATACGGAGTCTACTACCCCCACGCATAACATCAACCGAAAAACGGCATGGAAACGGCAAAAAACAACCAATGCCGCAAGAGTCCGAAAGACCTACCTGATAACAATACAGTACCGTCACGAGTGAAAAACAAAACAAGCGCCATGCGACCGTGCCATTGATCCTTGACACCGATCTCGAACCAGCAAACATTATCTCCCCCCAAAACAAAACCATGTCACACTCATAAAGAAAACCAAGAAGCTGCACACGCTCGATGCACGCACCTTGCCACTGAGGAAACCCTTCCCTTCCGCCGCCCCCGCCACCGTCGCCGCCGGCTCCCCGGCCGCCTCCTTCGAGACGTAAAACCCCGATACCGGCTAGGCACCGCCCCGCAGCCGCAGCTCCGGCGCGCCGCCACCCTTCCCGCCGGTGGTCGATGCCTGTGCGGCCGTCACTGGTAGCGCCCCCGGCGCTGTCGTTTCCGCTTCTGCCGCCCTGCCCTCCTGGCGAGCACAGGTCGCCGGAGGTGGCCGTTACAAGGAGTTCCAGGGTAAGGGCGATGGTGTGGAGGGAGGAGGGGCCGCCGCGGAGGAGGGAAAGGAGTCTCACCTGCANGGGGGGGGGGGGGGGGGGGGGGGGGGGGGGGGGGGGGGGGGGGGGGGGGGGGGGGGGGGGGGGGGGGGGGGGGTACTCACATCAACGCGGTCGTTAGTCAGATCATTGAACTAGCATCCCTACAGTGCCGGGAGTGAGCTCGCCGTCTTCTCACCGGACCAGACTCTCACATCACATCACCGACGGCGGGGTGTACTCATGGCAGAGCGCCCGAAGTCGCTGGTTAGACCATTGACCTCGTATCTGTGCAATGCCGGGACGGAGCGACATGTTCGCCGGCCCAGCTTACGTTTCACAAGGATGAAAGGAACAGAAGCTCGTCGCCATCCTTGTCTTTACTGTGCCTAACAGGGGTGTGTGTGTGCTACGCTCGTCGTGTGGCGTTGAAAACACCGCTGTAGGCAGACAACTGGTACATACCCTCTCAACTCCAATGTGTCGGGATGGAGCATAGTGAGACGGTGAGAGAGCTAGTCGCTGGGGAGGAAGGCACGAAGGTGTTGGGAAGACCAAACAGAGCCAAGTCTGATAGGACAGGACAAACAAGAGCTACCGCTACCGCCAGGCGACATTACGGGGTGCTTCCCGTCCCCTACCTTTCGATGTGCACGGCGAGTATCCAGACACCTGGGGCGTACTTCCACGCCCCATACACGGAACAAAGAAAATCCGCGTGTAGGTAAGCATCTGGGACAGCAGTCTCACATGATCTGGAGTCCTCGCAGACTCAACAGTCTCACATCACCCCCCCCAATCAACTCTATCTCTCACCTGCCGTGTCTCGTGTCTCATGTCTCATTTCTAATCCCTAATCCCTCATCTCTCAACTCTCTCATGTCCCATCTCCCATCTCTCATCCCTAATCCCTCATCTCTCAACTCTCTCATGTCCCATCGCTCACCGCCCATCCGAGAAGAGCATCCTCGTCGCGCTCTTCCAGCGCCCCTCCCCTCATCAAGTGCATCGCCAGCACGATCGCCGACTTGCGCTCAGCGTCCGGGTCCCCCGATCTCCCCAGCCCGCTTCCTACACCTGGAAACCCGTTTGGTCCAAACGCGTCCGTCACGCCGGGGGGGAGGAAGAGACAGAAAACAGCAACAAGTTGTGGAAACGGGGGCCAAACAAGATATCCCTATTAAAGAGCTGGCGTATGGGATAAGGGAGGCGGAGGGGAAAGCGTAAGCCCCCACTCTGCCAGAAATGAAGCAGCATCACCCTCGGTCGGCAGCCGCGGCATCAGTTCCCACAAGCTCCAAATGCCACGAGAAAAAATGACCCTGGAATTGGGGAAACACAGCTATTAGGTCAGTCGTGGATCCTACATTACACCCTTTGCAATAATCTGTGCTCGGCGGTGGCGACGAATCACGTGGGATCAGAAGAAGTTGAGCCTCGACGCGAAATTGGACGAAGCGTGATTGCCGGCCCGTTCTGTGCCATCACCAACACCGCCGATACCAACAACAACAACAACAACAACAACAACCGCAACAACACCAACAGCAGGATTGACAGCAACACCCACCATGACCGGCCTGTACACCAGCCCCCTGCCGCCCTCCTGGAAACCCCGTCGCACCCCCCAACCTCCCACCCCCGCCGCCGCTGCCTGCCCCCAAGAAGAAGACCTGCTTCTGCACGTGGTTCATGAGCTCGTTGACCATGCCGATGCCATTAGACTGGCGAGTCAAAACGGCCAGGCACCTCGCCGCCTTGTCCAGCAGCCGCGGGTGCAGGGTCCGGCCTGCGTAGACGCAGAGACAGCCGTGAGATACGTATCTCGACATCACCCAAGTGCTTCCGCTGGGCGCGTGTATGTGCGTACATATTTTTTCATGAAACACCATCCCATTCATTCTACACGTCGTCAGTCTTACTATAGGTAGATTTTCTGGACGCATCCGGCGGGTCAGTCGGTTACACAGGAAGGAGGATGACCCACCCAGGAACCTTTTATATTTCCTGCAGGGCGAAAGACAGCCAAAAAGTAAAACCAAAAACGCTTGCGCTGGAAGACACGCTGCACAAGCCAAGTTTTGGCATTTAAGAGCTTGGGGGTGCCGTTTACACCGTTAACTTGGTGGGCGCTCAACAACGTGATTCTTGTCCAACGCCGGCTATCCATCCAAGACGAAAACACCTAATATATTTACACCCCAACGCTGGCAACGCGTGCACGAAAAACAACCAACAGCGAAAGCAATGTACAGAAAATGGTTGGGTGGGTGCCGTTCTTGTTTGGGGTATTGCATGAAATAGCGTTCAGTGTTGGGGACCGCAATAACTCACAAGAATCCACTGCCAATTTACCCTAGAACCTCTTCTATGGGTACATAGTGGCCTACAATCGATTGAAGGGTGCTAGAATCGCATAGATTTTGTCTTATAGTGTTGTGTGTGTATGGTTTGGGAACGATAGTAATCTTGAGTGCAACTTCGTGCATACCTCCCCCGCCCAACACGAGGTCGCCGACGGTGTTGGCGTAGGGCGACATGAGATCGGGGCAGTTCTCGGACAGCTCCAGGAGAAGGTCGAGCGCTCCGAGGCAGGTCCCAAGAAGAGCGTCGGCCGCCATGTCTCTGAAAAATAAGTGGGTGTGCGTGAAAAAAAACAGAGTGAGGTTTGGAACGCCCAGACAGCGGAGGAGCGGTAAGCAAAGCCATACTCACTCACGCAACATGTGTTCCGTCTCTCAAAACGATCAAAAATACACTCCTACGTGGTCTTCCTCTCGTGTGAGCCACGCCAACACACGCGTTCGTTCCAAAATGTGTACCACAAATTAAAAAGGACAATGCGGACACAGACAGCACGGACGCGTTTGATCCATCTCCCACTAAGGCCACGCTACCCCCCCCCCCCCCCCCCCCCCCCCCCCCCCCCCCCCCCCCCCCCCCCCCCC